AGGCCAGCCTGGTCTCCAGAGTGAGTGCCAGGATAGGTTCCAAAGCTACAGAGAAACCCTGTTTCGAAAAACAAAAAAAAACAAAACAAAACAAAAAACCATTTGTCTCCCTATGTGGAGGTGGCTGAGGCCGCAGCAGTGAGACAAAGGCTCCCCTGGGCTGCGGCTTCAGCAGCAATGAGGCAGCTATGCAGTCAGCAACTGAGGTATCCATAGGATTAAGTGTAACCGCTGTGCCGCAGATATAGAACACTTCAGTAATTTCATACATACATACATACATACATACATACATACTCTAGTGTTTTTCTGTGTAGCTTTTGGCTGTCCTGGAACTAGCTCTGTAGACCCGACTGGCCTCAAACTCAGAGATATACCTGCCTGTACATGCCAAATGCTGGGATTAAAGGCTTGAGTCACCACTCCCTGGCTATATTTTTTTCTTTAAAAAAAAAAATATATATATATATGTGTGTGTGTGTGTGTGTGTGCGTGTGCGTGTGTGTTCTTGGGGCTAGAGAGATTAGATAGCTCAGTGGGTAAGAGCAATGGCTGTTCTTTGAAGGGACCCAAAGAGTCAATTTTCTCTTTCCATCTTGTAGGTACCAAGGACTGAATTGAACTGAGGTTGTCATCAGGCCTGGTGGCTGTCTTCAGAGTTACTATTGCTGTGATCGAACACCATGATCAAAGCAACTTGAGGAGAAAAAAGGTTTATTTGGCTTATACTTCTGTTTCACAGTTCATCATCAAAGGAAGTCAGGACAGGAACTCAAATGGCAGGAGCCTGGAGATGGGAGTTGATACAGAGGCCATGAGGGGTGCTATTTACTGGTTTGCTCCCCTTGGCTTGCTCAATCTGCTCTCTTATGGACTCCAGGACCACCAGCCCAGGGTTGGCCCCACCCTCAATGGGCTGGCCTTTCCCTATCAATCACTGATTAAGAAAAAGTCCTACAGACCAGTGGTGGTGGCACACGCCTTTAATCTCAGCACTTGGAAGGCAGAGACAGGTGGATCTCTGTGAGTTTGAGGTAAGCCTGGTCTACAGAGTGAGTTCCAGGACAGGTTTCAAAGCTACAGAGAAATCCTGTCTTGAAAAAAAAGAAAAGAAAAGAGAAAATGTTCTACAGGCTTGTCTAAAGTCCAATCTTATGGAGGCATTTTCTTTTTCTATTTGAGACATGATTTCTCTGTAACAGTTTTGGCTGTCTTGGCTGTCTGCTTGCTCTGTAGACCAGGGCTTGCCTCAAACTCAGAGATCTGCCCACTTCTGTCTCCTGAGTTCTGGGATTGAAGGCACATGCTACCACCATGCTGGACAAGGAGGCATTTTTTTAAATTGAGGTTCTGTCCTCTCAAATAACTTTAGCTTGTGTCAAGTTGACATAAAACTATCCAGCGCAGTGGCAAATATTTTTACCTGCTGAGCCAGCTCACTGGCTCTCTTGTTTTCCTTCTGTGAGATAAAACACACTATAAAGGCCGAGCTGGCCTTGGATTTGAAATTAGCACTAACTTAATTGCATAGTGATGGCAAAGACCCACAAAGAGAAAAAGAAATACCAACTCACTCACCTTACGCCATTCCAACCTGGCACTAGCAAAGGAGGCTGTTCTTCCCTTTGGAGCCACCTGACTTCCACTTCCCCCTCTCTTCCTTCATGAAACACTCTGCTCCCATTTATATGTTCACAAAGGATCTTCCAGTATAGTGCTGGCTAACCTGAAACTTGATGTGTAGATGGGACTGGTCTTGAATCTGCCTCTTAATTCAGAGATTACAGGGCTGTACCACCAAGCACAGTTGCTCCTGCACCCCCACCCACTTCCTGTGCCTACTAAATAATCACTCTGCCACTAAGCTACAACCTTGTCACAAACACATACGAACACACAAAGACCAGGCTGGCCTCAAACTCACAGGGATCCTCCTGCCTCTGCCTCCCAAATGTTGAGATTAAAGGTGTATGCCACCACCAACTGGCACAAATACTTTTTTTCAATTTTACATTAAAAATTGTGTATAGAGTGTGGGGGTGCCATGATGTGGGTGTGGAGGCCAAAGAACAACTTGCAAGAGAATCAGTTCTCTCTCTCTCTCTCTCTCTCTCTCTCTCTCTCTCTCTCTTGAAATGGGGTTTCTCTGGGTAGTCCTGGCTGTCCTAGAACTTGCTCTGTATACCAGGCTGGCCTCAAAGTCAGAGATCAGTTCTCTTCTTTTACAGTGTAGATATGAGGATCAAAATTAGGTCATCGGGCACCTTTACCCATTAAGTCACCTCTCTGGTCCATATTTACTTATTTAGAGGCAGGGTTTCAAGTATACCAGGCTGGCCTTGGAACCAATATGTAGCTAATAATGACCTTGAACTGGTCTTCCTACCTTCACCTCCTATGTGCCGACAGACACTACACGGTTTATGCAGGGC